CTGAGAATTATGAGACTATTCTCATAATGTAAGGTAGGAGCGTCGTGTTCGCATGCTGTCAGTTTCGGTTAAATATGTTCTGAGAATAACTTAGTAATCCAAAAATGTAATGTTATCCACTTTTTATGTGCTTAAAGAGGATTATGCTCTTAATGAATCAAAGATGTTTGTGGAACCATGTAAGCAGCACCCCTCATTTTCTTTAAAAGCTTGTGCATGACAGGTAATGGTCATAGCGGACTCATTTGTTTCGATTAATATAAACTTTGGATATTGATTTCAGTATATCATATTTATTCTAGATATTATTTTAAGCATTTAATGTTAATCGATATTATTATAAGAACAAAGAAAATGCATACAAAGCTTGTAGGAGACATGGAGGATGAGAACCAGAAATATAATAAAATTAAGGTGAGGATCATATACAATATTTAAAACTAAGTAAATGCAACTAACAATTTTTGAAAAATATATTGAATAATATAAACATAATAAAATAATATTTTTCTTCAAAATGTTTATAACGACCAATGGAGATAAACTTAAAGATGAATGTTTAGAATAAATACAGTTTTTCTAAACATTATTTTAAAATTTTGTTTGTGCTGTCGCCATTTTTCAAATCCAAATAGATTTATTCACGAAAACCCAAGCAGGTGTTCCGTGTCTAGCAAAATTTTGTTTATTGACCGGATATCCTCTTGCCATATGTTAATCCACTAAAACTAATTGCCAAGTGTCCAGTAAAATTTTGCTGTTTATTGATCGGATATCCATTTGCCATATGCTAATCCACTAAAACTAATTATCAAGTGCCCAGTAAAATTTTGCTGTTTATTGATCGGATATCCATTTGCCAAATTTTTAGAAATAAAAGAAATCTAATCCGCCAAATTTTTTACAAATTGTTCTTTATTCTCTAATTTTCAAACGTGAGATGCGAATATGTTAAAGCAACCTATAGTTGTAACCTCCGATTACATCCTATAACGCTCGAATTCTACATTAAATAAGCATTGCAAATACTTCATATAAACATTTAAAAAAATGACGGGAGGCTGTCTTTTTCAAACACCCGCTGATGTTAAAGGCGTAGGACTACTTTACTCGCGTGACTCATCTGTTTCTCGTCAGTTTTTAAGTTTAAGGAAGTTTTTTTGTAACTTCTGTTGTTACCCTTTATCTCTAAAATAAGACATTATTTATGTTTTTAACATATGTAGTTACTGAGATATAGAGGATCTCCTTACAACGTTTTTTCCGGCGTTTTGGCGTGTGATTCAAATTCCTTCCTGAGACCCCAATGGGAGGAACGTAGTCCTACGTTAAAATAATGTAATTTAACAAATTATTAACAATTTTCAAATTAAAAACTAAAATTGTAGTTTAAAAGAAAAGAGGGCTAAACTTCGATCGCCCTAAAGGCATCATCTAAGTTCAAAGAACCAAAAGGAAATGGAGAAACAGAGTGAGAGAATGTGAGAGAGAATGACAGTCATGACGAGGATTCGCATTCTTAGGAGGGTTCAAAGAGAAATTAGCATAAGACGCCTTTTTCTTTTTGTGAACGCAAAATATTTAATTAGCATGAAAGGATTTCTTCTCGAGACCGCAACAAAGAGTTAAAAATCAGATACAATTAATCGAGATACTTATTAGTTTATTCGAATAGTAAGGCTATTCTTACATATTTTCCAAAAATCTTTTAAAACAGAATGCATTGATTTTATGGAATTTTATAAAATAATTTACTCTGTCTTTTAACTTTAAAAGTATATTATTGAAGCTTATTCCAACGTGCAATATTGACCACGTAATAAAACGTTTTATAGAAGCCGTTTGGTTATACAATTAAAGTAACCTTAAAGGTTCGCGTCCTCATTAAGAGTTGCCTGAGTGCGAATGAGTAGTTTTAAGCTCGATATCAAGACGTTTCACCTTTAGTGAACAAATGACGAATTTTTGAAACGGCTTCTTTAAGACATGAAAATACTTATTAGTAAAATATTATTTTATTGTCTCACTTCCACCGTTTAAGCAGTTTCTATTTGTATCTTCTTCTTGAAATTAATCTTATACTTTCTATTTTCATAAATAAGACTTACACATATACTAATCAAGAACAAGTAATGTTAGGTTAAAAAGTATAACTCATAGAATCAAAGAATGATATCATTGATAAAGTTTAGGGAAAATGTCGGATAAAAAGAGTTTTTTATATCAGAAAGATAATCTTCCGTTGGACAAGAGGAATAAATGTTATATTAAAAAATATCCAACCATAAAATTTAAAAAAAATCGAACGCAAAATTCCAATAACTGTTTTCGAAAATGATTAAAACGAAAATCAATTCTGGTGCAACTACTCTTTCTTCGACGTGCCATATTTTCTTCGAAACATGCCATCCTGAATGCAAGGCTGTCGTTTGCATTTCTAATCACGAAGATTGTCGTCTTTCTTCTGGCAGCAGTGGCAGGAAATACTGAAAGAATAAAAAAAAGAAGATTTTTAAAAATCTCTCAAAGAAGAAATAATCATTTTTTCGGACAAACACTGGAGCGCTCGGCTTCTCCAGCTGTTTCCATTTGGAGTGCTTTCGAAGTAAAATAGAATAAAGAAATTTATTTTGGCGGGAAAAAATATTTTGAGCATTCTTTTCTTTTTGTTCTGGATCCTTCAAAGCCGGATATTAAGCTGGGAGACGTGACATTTAGCTTCTTAGATACGGCTCTTTCGCGTCAATAGTTAAAAGTGGGAGGGGGGGATAAAATTCATTTTTATTTTTGGTCGCAAATCTTCGTAAAAATATAACTTTTTTGATATGGGATGAGAAATGGAGAGGAAAAAGATTCTCAGATATCTTATTGAACAAAAATCCATCGAAAGATTTGTCGGTGAGTTTCTTTGAGGTTAGATGCAGCGAATTAAAGCTATCACATCGTGCATATAAGTGGGAAAAATGCGTCATAAAAACAAAATTCTGAAACGTCTTTTTTATTTCGGCGTTGTTAAGTTACGACTTTGCTCAAAATGTCGCATTTCTTTTTGTGTAACGAAGCATGGATAAAATACTTTCCAGGTCGTACATTTTCAGCTCTTTCGTGAAAAATTAAATGGGTTTAACGAGGAATGAAAATTTAAGGTTTCGGTATTTTATGACGGTAAAGCATTTGCAAATCATTTCCGTACTTTTAAGCGAACTTCCATAATTTTTGCTTGAATTTTAAATACAGCATTTGTAAAAAAAGCAATTTGATTCAAAAATATTCATAAAATTTGATTATCGTTCTAACCATTTTGAAAAAGAATTTTGATGCTCTTTTAAATTATATGTTACCTTACAACAAATTATTTTGTTGTAAGGTAACAAATCATCAACAAATTATTTTTTGCTGAAGCTGCAGTTGTGTCAATCTTTATCTCTATATATAAAAAAGAAAGGGACTCACTGACTCATCACCGAATCTCCCAAACCACTGGGGCTAGAAACTTGAAATTTGGCAGGTGGTTGCTTTTTGGTAGTAGGTGCTCACTAAGAAAGGATTTTTCAAAATTTCAATTATAATTTTAATTAATTAAATTAATTCCGTAATAACTTTGGAGCATATTATCGCAAAAAACTATTTTAACATCATAGTCAAATTCAAAAAGTTAGCTTTTCAATAACAATGCTCTTAGTTCCATGCGATATTTTGAAAATTTTTAATTAAATTTTCAAAATGTTTTCAAACATGATTTGTAACACTGTTTTTATTGTTGTAAATAAAATTCAAACCAATCTCATTATTTCAGCAAATCTTTTATTCACGCGCTTTTGCAATTGTTATGGTTGTGATTGTATGAAATATTTTCTTGGGAAACTCCAAAGCAGAATTTTCACTTTAGTAATCATTGCATTGCTGAAAAATTTTATCGCACGTGCTTCAAAGTAATATTTTTTGTATTTATATTAAAGGTGGCAGCAAATATTTGATTTCAGGATTTTTTGTGTGTGTTTGTGTGAGGTAGACTGAAATGATTTTCATTCTTTCTTCAAGCATTTAATCTAATGCTTTCCTGCCATTTTATAATTAAAAATTGAAAACGGTTCTAAAATTTGGTATATTGCGTTAAAGGCAAGTTTTTATTCCAATTTTGGTTAGGCTTAAGAGCACAGCACTGCCACTAAACTTGAATTTTCTCAAGTGATAACTCATTAAATTTGGTATTAGATTTAGAGCAGTTCAGAACTAATGGTAGGAAGTCAGCTTAACGATAGAAGAAAGAGTCGTGAAGTTGGTGACGGGACAATATCACTGTGTAGGTGTTAATCTGACCAGTCACAAAAAAAACACCAAAAAGAAGAGAATAGTATTCCGGAGAATGGTAATAAAAACCAAGATATGAAAGAGCTTCTGATGTCGCCGTAGTAGTTAGTGATAGGAAGAAAAAATGCTTACCAAGGTCGCTAGATTCGTGGCTAGGTAGCTCAAACTACGGAAGGAAAATATAAGAGGAGTTTTGCTGCTGGCCGAGGATGTTAGACAACACGAGAGTGGATTAAGAAAATCAAATAAAGACGTTGTTGCGAAAAACTGTTTACTTAATATATTATAAGTACTTAGATTTGAAAATATTTTTATCCCGGGCAACTCCGGGTATACCAGATAGTAACTACAGATAAGTAACATAGGAAAAATAATTCGCAACTTTAATTTTGAATATAATTTTTAATTAAAATGAATTATATCCGCAAATGTTTAACAGAAACTTTGTTAACAGTGTAATAAGTATATCATTCAATTAATCAATTATTAAAATATATAAAATTTATTTAACTCCTCAAGCGTATGAATTGGCTTTTACATTTCGAGCTAACATTTTGAAAGGCGTTTGAAATGTGATTTTTAGCTTCGTGTTGCCTTTTCCTAAAACAAGTAAATGGCTTTTACCTGTAAGTGGTACTGCATTAAAATTTGGCTGTTTCTACTTTAACCGCCTGCCCATTCTCGTGCCAACGGCCATATCATGCTAAAAACGCTGGTTCTCATCTGATTACCGCAATTAAGCAGCATCAGGCAAGCCAGTACCTACTTGGGAGGGTGACAACCTGGGAACACTGTTTGCTGTTGGCATCTCTGTAAATTTGTCCCATGTTCTAGCTGGTGCGACAACTGTAATGGTTGCAGGAACAGAGGCATAGGACGGCGTTCTGTCCATTCCCCCACTAAATAGCCTACTTGAGATCTAGATGGATTGCTTGTGATAAATTAAAAGACAGGGCCCTCAAGTAATTATAGGAAGAAGCAGGTGAAAACTGACTGATTTCAGTAGGGAGGAAAGCAGCTAACTGGAATTCCTGTAGGTGGTTATAGCAGGGAGTTTAATTGCTCAAACAATTTTTGAACTTCGGGGGAGGGAGAGAAACTATGGTTATATTTTTTTGCAAAATACGCCATAGTGTTGCAGGAAAGTTTCGTTTCGCTGGGTGGAAAATTTCATAGTGAATAATTAGTCGCTAGGATATATAAAAATGCAAAAATACAAGTCGTGCAAATTTGCAACACTGATCCGGCGTAGCTAAACAATATGGCCCATATATCCATAATATTAGGATGTGGTCAACACAATTAATCTTTCGATTTATACATTTCAATGATCTTGTTCCTGTTTCTTGGCTGATCAGGTAATAATTCTTAATGGTTAATCTGTAATCTAATATGTCATTATTCTGCCACTGTTTAATTTTTTCCTGTGTGGTGCTTTCTGGAAAAGTAGAAATAAAAGTGAATTTCTCATTATAAAATTATTTTAAAGAATTTTTATTTTTGAATACATTTGTAGTTACTTAAAAGCACATTACAAGTATGGTTGGTCACTATTGTTAATTATTTTTTGTCTTAAATATATTTCTTTCTTTTCAAATACATTGGAAATAAATTGGCATTGTTAAATCAGTTTTAAGAATACGGACCACCTCGTCTGAAAGATAGTTTATTACACTTTTAACACGAACGCGTATAAGGCATGCCCGTTACAGAAATGCACATTATTGTGAGAGCATTTTCCCCTTGTAGGACATTTGGCCAGAAATTATAATCCAGTGTCCAGATTATGAGAAGAGGCATATAAAGCATTAGATTAGTTTCACTTAAGTACTTCAGAAAGACTTTCCTAGATATTTTTTCTTAAAAGTTTCTTATTCGTTACTGGCAGATATAGAACTTTAAACACTTTTTATGCTTTCATTTGTCATATCCTTTAAATGGTTTCTGCTCATTACTTTTATGTGGGTTATCCAGAAAAAGTAAGCTCCGTTAGCAATTTACATCCCAGCTGCGCTGCATTTTAAGAGTGAGCATTTGTATTTGCTATTTCGAAACATCTGCAAGACAGAGACATCATTTTATGGTGAAGACAGAGTTGGTTTTTCCTAGTGGGTTGTAATAATATTTAAGAAAATGAATATGCCCGTCCCGTGCAAAGTGGCCTTAGTCAGTTCTTGAATCCAAGGAATTGAATATTGAACTTTGGGAACCCAATGCTACTAATACTAACTCGAAAATCTAAGAAAATTGCTTTACACAATACAAATTAAACGAAGTGGCATGTTCAGATATAATGTTATTTCCATTAACGATAAGGCTTGTCTAATACAGTGGCTGCAAATTTATTCGGAATTGGAGGGAAATGTTACCTCATTCCCCTTCCAGCCCAGACCTAGCCTCCTCTGATTTTCCTCTCTTTTTGCAATTTAAGTCCTTCATTTCTCATAGAAGGTTCCTGGATGATAATGATGTGAAACAAACTCCTGCCATCTGGTTATCATCACAGGCTGTATGGGTCTTCGATACCGGGATACAAAATATGAAAAAACTTTTAACACGGATGATAATTTTGCTTAAATGTACATAAAGGCCACGTACCTCATTAAACTATAATGTGTTTTTTCATTAAAATTACAATCAATTACATTTTGTGATTTTTTTAAATTGAACAACGGAATTGACTTTCTAGATAACCTAAGTAACTGGCACATTGTATCCCAAAAGAATGCAGAGCCAATAAACAGCAATTAAATTCCAACCTAGCTTTTCATCACTTTAGAGGAGATTTTCTGTGTGTTGGTGTATAAGTAAAAAGGTACTTTTATAGGACATGATGGAAAATACTGTAGAATGAAACAAGAAATTATTTTCCTGTTTTACCTCTAAAACTTTGTTATGCAGAATAGTGGACTGTTTTTGTCAGCTAATACGGTTTCAAATTAGATTTTAAAACCCTCTTGGTTGCATGTTAAAAATTTACTGAAAATATGTAAAACATATTGCACATATCAGACATATGGATTAAAATATTCCAAATGTAAGGAGGCAATTTTCATTTCTGCTGTTAAAAAGCTTTGAATGATATCGTCGAAAATACCGTCAGCATAACTACGAGAATTAACTTAAGGGTTGTGTAAATTATGTTTCCATCTGAAATGGAGAAATCTTTTACTGTATGGCTATTTTTTTCCGCAAAAAAGAGACTTGCACTAAATTGCTTCGGCCTAGAAATGTCAACTATGGATTTAACAGATCAATTACTGATCGAAATGCATTTTAAAGCTGTTAACTTCTGTAAATAAACCGAGAGGAATGTCACATATGGAAAAAGTTGTTCTATTTTCTATGAACGATTTGAAATCTCTGTTATCATATTATAAATGCACCGGTATTCATCTTACACGAACATAATTAGATAAACTAATTTCAAAACATCAGAGAGTATTTCTGAAAGAGAGAAAGGAGGCTTTTAGGTATTTAACAGTAAATTACTAAAAACTTTTAACATTTTCGTAACGCAGGGCAAATCAGGCTTTTCAGTTATCTTTGATAATGAAAGTATTTTGAAAGATGCAAACATTAATTGATAAGTTAGTTTCTAATTAGTAGTTGACAAATTAGAAAGCACTTACTAGAATTCCTTTGACTGATTTTCACAAAATTGCCAGATTATGTGCAAGATCTAAACAATAGACCTTATAAAAGTTCATCTATATAAATCAAAGAAAATATAATGTGCGTGAGATTATCTAAAAGGGGATTTCCGCAGTTCAAAAACAGAAATGCTGTTCCATAAGAGCATTTAACATGCCTGTATATTTTATTGCGTACTGGAATCATTCGTTATTGGGTTTTATCATGGACAAATTTTATGTTGGTGGAATTTGAGCATAATTTTAAAATAATTTTGTCATAACACTCCATCTCAGGTTAAAAGTAATTTGCTGTAATCTCACTTATGGATTGAGATTACAATTGGGAAACTATCATTTGACTGATTGAGGTAGGTTTTGTACTACATATAAGGAATGCTTAGTCTCAAAAATAAAAATTCTACTTTACCTTTAAGCAAAACGAGCGAGCTGACAAACTTGCCAAACAGGCCACCGCAAGACGACACCATCGATTATTAACTTAATAGATCTTGTGTCCAACTAAAAAATGATGTCAAGAAACAAATGCTGGTCAAATGGCAAGAAAGATGGGATTCTTCTCAAAAAGGGACTTGGACCAAAATGTCTTTTAGTCATGTAAAGTTTGAAAGATTAATGGGTAGCTTCTTTCTAAATCAAATATACACTTGGTGAATACAATATAAACTTTTGGTGAATACCAAAGTAGATTTTTTCAGAAAAATCCAATGTGCCATTGCGGCCAAGAAATCGAATCAATGGAACACATGGTTATCAATTGTAAATTATAGAATAAAATAAGAGAAAATTGACCTTTAAGTTATTCAAATTGGAATGTGGTCAAACTTATGCAAATTCAAGTGTGTAGAAAGGGAGCAGAAAAAATGGTTGGAAGTCAGTTATCCTTAATTGAGGAACAGGACAATATTTAACCACTTGTTGCAAATGCATTTCGGCTTTATTTGGCTCAAATTTATGAACAAATTGTTGACTTATGTTCTGTACTCAGACCAACATGCATTGACTAGTGGTTTAGACATTGAGACGGCGGCCTAATCACTGCCACCGACAAGTTCGCCAGTGTTTATCGTGTAGAGTGGGGCCGCCTCGAGTCGGCCGATTGTCTTTTATACCGTGCGGCTTTGGTCAGGTCGGGGCTTGTTTGCTTTTACCTTTAAACAGCAAAAACCTGGATGTATTTAGGCTGGAGCTCAATCCGGTTTTTATATACCCCATAATTTCTGCCAATTCGGAGATGTTTCTTCGAGTGTAAACAACTTGTTCCCTGAGTACATGAGGAATGCTCATCTACCAAAAATATAAATTCTGTTTTACCCTCCATGAGCTTGTATCGTGGTTTACTTAATCTGCAGCTTAATCAAGTTTTTCAGCTTCCCACAACTGTTGCGATTTGAAGAGAGTTTATCAGAGTGTAGGCCGCGTTTTCGCCGCTCATTCCAAGAATTCAATTTTCTAAGCATGTGCACAGTTTTAGTTCAGTTTTTTGGATAGAAGATATCGAAAAAATAAAGTATCACACGTTTTTAATTTCTTACAGGAAAGTAAAATCATTTTAATGGTATAAAAATTGATCTCGAGATTTTGATAAGTCTAAAGATTTTTGACTCCCCTCAATCCGAAAAAGCCATTTTTGGAATTACGTCAGTTAGGCTGTGAACATGATAATTCGAAAACGGAAGAAGAAGCGGTGTAAAGGTAATTAAGTATTTGACAATACACCATAATTGTATAGTTATATCAAGCTTTGGAAGAAATCCGTCAAAGGTAGGTCTGTCTTTTTTCCTTCCGTGTGCGTGTGAACACGATAACTAAAATATGACATGAGCTAGATATATTAAAATTGGTATATAGTTTCATCACGAGATTTGTTGATCTGCATAAGATTTTGCCCCAAATTCGTAAACTGGTTGACTGTCTGCCGGTATGTGTATCTTTTAATATGTGAATGCAATGACAAGACACAACTTCATGCCCCTGCAACTATAACCTTTCGGTTATTTAAAAATTGTAGTAAAAAATATTATCTTATTACTCTCTTCGTAAAATCATGGAAAAGGGTTCTATATTTAGACTTAGAAACAGGGTAAGCCTAAAGAGAGTTGTTGATTCCATTGGTAGAGACTTGGACATCTTTATTGCTAAAATTGCTA